AATTTGTGATTTAAATCCTTTTTCGTGTATAATATTTAATGCAGAACATGTGACTCGTGGTGAGCAATGACCTCTGATATTCAGCTGCTTAGAATGGTATTTGTTTGGCTAGCTGAGTCTAAATAGGGAAAAGCATTAAGCATTGGTCTTTGTAGGAGGAGACAGGAAGACATTCTGTATCACCTGCAGGGATTAAGCAGTTTTTAAAGCATGAGTATGTATAGTGACTCGACCACGCAAAACTGTTGATCGGCTTTCTGTCGACTTTATTTGACTGAGATTTTCTTTTCAATGGCCTCAAGTAGCGATCCTCTTACATCCACTAGCAGGAGAAAAGCAAAGCTTTATGAAAATTATGAAACAGTAAAATGTAGGTAAGAAAAATCTAATTGTCAAAACTGGAATTAGTCCAGGATAGGAATTAATAATTCTGACATTAATGAACGGTTTAATTACCATTAGTCCAGAGGGCATGCAATTTTATTCCTTTCAATAGTAGCACAACTCCTTTAACTCTGTACTGGTGCTTTCCAAAATGAATGCAAAGAACAGTAAAAATCCCAGAGGATTTGTTACAGTTTTTCTGGTTTTTTGTTTAGTTTGTTTTGTTGTTAATTACACAAGGCAAATACTGGGAGCACACTGTGGACACATCTAAAAACATTGCTTACCCAACTGCATTTCAGTTCATGCGTTCTCAGGCCGTTCTTTTCAGAAGTGTTCTATAGGTAGGAGTTTCTGCAGTGGAGTTACTTCACACTGCTTCCTCCCTAAAACCTTAATGATTCACTGTAGTTCTGGATCAAGTACTTTTCTTTTTCCAGTATTGGTCTTCTCTTAAATACAGATTGCTGATCTATCCAAATTGTGTTCTATTTTTTCTGAAGAAGACAGTCTTCCAATAGATCACCAATTAATCTTACCAAATTAATTTTATTTATCATGACTGCTAGGTTTTACTCTTATCTCTTGAGGAAGGCAAAGCAATTAAACCCTTGTTGTTTATCCTCTGCATTTTTTCTTTCTTTTTTTTTAAATTTCTACTGAATAAGAAATGGTAGAGTTTTTTACAGTCAACTGCCAAAGAAAATAACATTTTTTCAATGCTTTTATTGTCATTGCTATTTTTAGTACAGTTGTATCGCTTCATCACTATTTGTACTTTTTCTACCTATGCAGGTATCCTATTGTTCTGAGTTTCCATTCAAACGGAGCGTGAGCTTTGTTTGATGTGTATGCCTACAGTAGAGGGGAAGAATGCAAAGCTAAGTGCTTTGTAAAGCCTATGGGACAAATGCTTTTCTAAGTAGTTTTTGAAGTACGTGCAACTTTTCCATTGTTCATTTTCTCCGAATGGCTTGAAAAGCTAGAAATACTTTGATATTCCAAGGACATTTAGTTGTATCGTGTCAAGGTTTGAAACATGCAGTTGCAAATGCTGCTTCCTCTGCTTGAATACAAATAAGCTTGGCAGCTTGATAGCTGATATCATTCTTCTCGTGAAATACTTGTGCTAACCAGTGCTTTTACAGTTTTCATCTGTTTAGATCTTGTACACTCAAAAGAGCTCTTTAGGAAGAGGCAGTGCAAACTGGTGTCAGTGGTGGCAGTGCCACTTGGAAGGCTTGGTCTTTCAAGAGGGGAGGGGCAGGCCAGAAAGCCTCAGTTGTGCATCACACGTAGGGGACCGTGTCTGAAGGCTGCCTGCCTCTGTCCTCCTCACGTCTTTTCCCTTTGGCCCCTTCTGCAGCCCTGCAGACGTTGACAGCTGTTTCTTTCCCTCTTCTGACATTGCTCTGCCTTTTTTCGTTGCTGCTTCCCAGTTGTGAGAGTTTGCAGAAGTTAGCGGTTGTTGCAACTCAAGGTGATCCTGAAGTCAGGTAGAAAGTGGTGCAAACTGAGTAATTTTAAGTAGAGATACCCAAAGTCAGTTAAAACCTCCAAATATAGACTTCATGACTGCAGGAAAGCTGATTGCATCTGATATGCTGTTGTGGCGGCAGAGGACGTAGCGTGGGTTTGAAGAGAGTGGATGAGGTGAAAATCAGCAACGACGCTGATCTGAGTGAGAACTGGGTTTGAGGGACAGGAGGAAGGACATGCGTCCTGCGGTTGCAGCTGGGACAGGCGCTGTGCACATTGCCTCTCGCTCTCTAGGGCGCTTCTGGTGCGATGGGCCTCTCTCCTACTGGGCTTGGCTTGGAGGAGCCAAGGTTGGCAGCCTTTCACACCTTATTTAAAAAGTGACCAATACAAAATGTTGTGACATTCAGAAACTATTAAAGTCAGCTTCTACCAGATTTGTTTGAAACTGGTCAACATGTTTTGAAGCTTTATGGGGACATACAGAATGCCTGCAAAAACCTTATTTCCACAGGGAAAGGAGGGGGAATCTTAGAAGAATCATTTTTCTTGTCAGAGGAAATTCTGAGCCCTGATCAAGAAGCCAGATTGAGCCACAGTGTTGTGTGTGACCTCTGAATGGGGATCTGGTGCTCCTGGTGTGAGAAATTTAAATAAAGAATGTTTAAACTTGAAGTTCACCCTTAGGTAGAGTAAATTTGAGCGACGCGTTGCATCCTCAAATTTTAGCTGTGTAGTTCTTTGTGTTTCTCTGTTCTGCAGAGAATATATATAATGTTGCTAAAACTTTTAGATTTTGTGATTTATTAGCTTGTAAATGAATTGCTCCATTTTTCATACCTGTTAGTGTTTTGATTTTTACATTTTCACTGATTTATATGTGTTGTATTATGAAAATGTTTTCATTGCATCAGCTGACTGTAATTAAGATACAACTTTTATGTTATATCCACAAACTTGGCATCTGGTCAAATTGAAATGCGAAATTACTTTACCTCTTGTTCTGTTCTAAGTTTTACCCTGGAAGACTGTCATCGGCACTGCCAAGTGAATAAGCAGCTGCACTGTGCTTTCACTGATGTTCATTTCAGCTTCTTGCTGTTTTTCATATTTTGAACACATGAAAAATGAAAAACAGTATTTCTTCTGACAGTATTGATATGTTAATCTCATTGGGATTGCTAGAGGCAGATAAGTGCTAATAAAATTTAAACAAAGAAATATAACATTTGAATGTTTTATTTACATCTGAAATACCAATTTATTCCCTAGTATAAAAATCACAGAGAACCATAAGCAGGGCATTTTCCGACCCATAAAAAATGTTTTACATTACATTTATATTTTTACAGAATCACAGAATCACAGAATCGTTGAGGTTGGAAGGGACCTCTGGAGATCATCTAGTCCAACCTCCCTGCTCAAGCAGGGTCACCTAGAGCATATTGCCCAGGATCACATCCAGACGGGTTTTGAATATCTCCAGGGAAGGAGACTCCACTACCTCTGTGGGCAACCTGTTCCAATGCTCTGTCACCCTCTGTCACCCTTGCTCTGTCACCCTCTGTCACCCCTGTAAATTACATTTACATTTCAGTCAAATGATGGATTAAGTAACTTGAGTGATCTGTGCTCACTCATACAAACGTAGCTCAGCTTACTGCATGGGAAGTTGTCCAGGATCAGAAATTACTTGTTTCTCTTTAATATGCTTTGTGAAACTGGATTTCTTGCATTTGAGACTATTGTTACTGTTAATTAGCCCGGATACAAAGGAGACCACAGTTTGATCCTAAGAACTATAACTTGTGCTGTTTTATTAAAAAATGTTGCATGGCTCCATTTTTTTTCTCCACTGATCTTTTGCATAAATTTTGCACTGACTTTTTCACAGGCATCCTCTGAAAGAGAATCCTGCTGAGCCTTGCTTTACTCAGATTAATTTTGTGCATTTCTTCATAAAAGTGACTCGTAACACCTTATACATGGTTTAGAAAATGGAAGATAAAGGTTTAGCCCTTCTTGGCTCTTTGGTGGTATGTTTCAGAACAGCTTGATTTATCTATGATCAGGTTAACATAACTTCTAGAAATGTCAATATCTGCTCCAGATTTAGAGACTGCTTGACATGTATAAAATCTGCTTAATTAGTGTTCTCTCAATTCAAGAGTAGTTAGTTAAAATGCTTTTATTCAGCTGAAAAATAGTAAGATGCAATTATGTAAACCACTACTCATATGAATTAGCTGTACTCATGCGCATTGTGTATGCAAGGAAGATTTGCAGAACTTGATACCTAGATTAGGAGAAGTTAGGGAACAGACTGTGGTGAAATTTCCCAAAAGTTTTTGTTACAGAAAAACTAGTGGAATTTCTACTAAATTCCATGTATTACCTTGGTCTGTTGAAAGTCAGATAAGATAAGCAGGAAT